GGGGGGGCGGAGGGCGGAGGGCAGCAGGGGGAGAGAGAGGGACCAGAGAGGAGGAAGAGCGCGGACCAGACCACGGCAGTCGCAATTCGCTGGAAACGCTCCAAGAAACATGGACCTCATCCAACGAGGGCGTCTCATCGCCCTTCGCTCTGCCACCCCCACGGCGGCGCACCCTTCCTCCCGCAACCCCTTTCACCACTGCCCCCTTCACCTACTCGATATCTCCAGCAGACCCCATACCACCATGCGTCTAGTTCGACATATGTACGGGGGCGGCGGGCCGCCGCGGGGAGTCCGGCACCGCAAATGGAATTAAGACGGGAAATAAACCTCTGTCTTCACCGAGACACGACGCGAGGCCCGTGCGCGACTGCACTTGCCAGCACGTGGGAACGTACACTTCACTGTAAAAAAGTTACAAAATATCAGATTTTGGATTTCAAGACTGTGTTCAATAAGTCACAGTTTTAGCAGAAAATTCTTACTGTCCAATTGGAAAATTTATAATTAGAAACTGAGTTAAGTTCGGTCGTTTTCGGTTTTACCTATGGACCAGTTTCTTCTACTCATCCTTGCTACTAAGGAGGAAATACCGCTGTAATAGTGCTATTCAACATCTCATTTTCTCTCATTCTCCGAAAGGATCCACTAATTCTCTTCGGAAAGCCACACACCTGAGAAACGCTAATTATTATTCCTGTATGTGATATTATCTGGTATACCGAATCACTATTCTCTGAAACCGCGTACGATGACGTCATCGCGACTGATCCGTTTGCAGAGTATAGCCGTGCTCTGCGCAAGGACTTTGCTGTTGCAGTGCAGTACGAGGAAAAGGGGCGAAGGGAGAGTGCGAACTTTTGCGCTCTTTTTTCCCCTTCTCTCTTCCACCCTGGAGTAAGTCGGGTCCAGAGAGTGAAACAGAGAAAGACGCGGGGAAAACGGAGCGAGAGGCAGAGAGTGGGGGAGAGGGTGCAAGTGAGAGGGACCGAGAGCGGGACAAACACAGGAAAGGAAGCAAATCCCGGCTATACAAAAGCGTCGCTACTAATTTATCACCATTGTCAAGCTATTTTCACCCAAGGCCAAAATCTCCCCTCCTCCCTCCCCACCCTCCCGGAGTATCTCCGGTCGGGCCGGAGGCTGGCCGCCCGGCTCCCCGCTGGCCTCGCCGCTGGGCCAGTGAGTGCGCTTTTTCCGGTGTTCCAGAGTGCGGAGTTAGGGGTGGTACCTCCTGCCTCGGCCCACCCACCCGGAGGCAGAGGCCTGGACGCTCGGGGCCTACTCTTCTATATTATCGTATCTGTTTATCGACTCACAGCAAAAGTGACTGACGAAAACACTTAAAACAAGTAGTGAATATTATAAAACTAATATAATTCTTGGAATCGTATCATCTGCTTTCACGATCCGTTCCTGGACGCAACATTTTTTTTGGGTGTGTTTCTATGCATCACTTTGTTAGAAATAGGGCTGAGTATGACTCTAAAAGTTCCAATTGCTACCAAGGAAATACCGTAACCAGTACAGTCCTTTTGAACAGTCTTTTTGACCAACATCATTCAGAATCAGACTACATCGTATCGACAACGTGAAAATGAATTCCAAAGGAGCAAATTTGCAGTGTCGTTCTATCAAGATTAATCCCAGTGCGTTTGGTTCACCACTCGCCCTGGAGCGGAAAACTCAACTCATTTTTCAAGTGATGGGAACTTGGCGCGGAACTTGGAATTGACGGACAAAGGATGGTCGGCCGGTCGTGGCGGAGCTCCAGCTAGTGGCAACCGGAGCGCTCCGGGGACGACCTGGGACAGCGTCAGAGGCGGATTTCTCATTCTGTAAAAACCTCACCCATTTCCCGGGGCGGCGCCGCCGATGGTCCGCCCGGGCCTCCCTTCCAGGACGCCAATTTGAGCGCGCAGGGCCGGTCAAAGCCAGCCCAGCCCAGCCCGCCAGGGGATGGCCAATGAGGCATACCGACTAATCCCGATAAAGGGATTCTACGGGTCGCGTGCGAAAAAGGGTCCCAGAGGAGCAGCCGGCCGCCGCCGCCGCTGCCACCGCTGCAGTGTGGCTCTAGCAGGCAGTGCGGCGCTACGCGGACGCAGCCGCCTGCTGCCGTGGGACCCCTCCTCCTGCAGCGACAGCAGCAGCAGCAGTGGCCCTTGGGGGCGCGCGCCGTCCGGCCTGCGCCCGCAAAGTGCAGTCTTAACGACCATCGCTCTGCAAAGCCCTCGCAACACCTTTCATCCTGCTCCCTCCGAGGCTCCCGCCCTTACAACGGCGCCAGCCCCCCCCCC